AAACTGAAACAAATTGAGAACAAAACAAAAAAAAAAATTGTATGGCAGTTTTTACTTTTTATCGCTCGTTTTTAACTTCACAAATAAATGATAACAAAACCTCCCCACGTCTGCCGGGTGCCGTCTCTGTCTCTGTCCCCTCCCCCCAGAGTTTTGAAACAGATGTGTTCTTCATAGATGTAAAAGCCTGATAACGGTGATTGGAAATTACAAGCTTTGTGTTGTGTTTTTTCTTTTTTTTTTTTAAGAAAACAATTATAAGAGAAAATAGTTTTCTGCAGGTGCGTTGTGCTTTCCTATAACACCTCGTTTTTTTTTTTGTTTTTTTTGTTTTTTTTGGTTAAATAAAGTGCTTTTTGTCTAAAACTGCGTGCTGGCCGCAGTTGTGTTTGTAGAGGAGCGAAGCTTGACCAATGAGAGTGGGGTACCGGCCCTCTGGTTTTGCCTAGCAGGGAGGGGCAGGCCACGTCCCCGAGGTGCAGTCTCCCCCCACCAGGCTCTTCCCTCTGGGAACTTGGGGAGCAGGGAAGCTGGGATGATCCCCGAGGACGGGCGTTCCTATGGATGCAGCCTGCCACACGGCGGAGCTGTCTCGCGGGAGCTGGGCCGGCCTCACTGCGCGCCTAGCTGTGTGACCTAGCTCGTTAGCCCCACGGTGCAGACCTGCCCTATTCAAAGAAATGCTGCCAGTTCCGGTGCTGGGCGACAGGCCGTGGCCTCCGAAGGATGAGGACAGGAGATAGGAGAGTGGACTGAGGGGTCATCTCGAGGCATACTGCATGGCGGGAGTGTTCCTTTTAGAATTACGGTTGAATAGCAATGCTTAAGTTGGGTCTTGCATTGAGAGTCCGGATGCCCGGGCCCACGGGCTGCAATGGCAGCACTGAGTGGGAGCCCGCAACGGTGCCATTTCTAGGTGGGGCTTCCCATAGCCCGGCAACCTCGCACCTTTGTTAGGAACCTGCCCCTAATGGAGTGTTCATTGGCAGCCCCAGTCAGCCCACCTTGTGGCACTGTGGGCCAGGAAGAGACATGTCGCTCTAGGGACGTGCGAGCAGTCAGCTTAGAGCCCTGGGCTCCCTAGACGCCTTACTCCACAGGTGCTGCACCCCTTTTGAGCCCTGTGCGGGCAGTCGGCCCCCAGCCCCTCCTGTCTACTGCAGGCTTTCGACGACAGAGCAGCACTTAGCAAAAATGTTTTCTGGAGCTGCTTCTGCCAAGATCTAGAGGAGGGGGAGCAAGCGGGGTTGGTTCTGAGTCACAGCGGGGTTGACCTCCGCCTCAGCATGGGGAAACCACTCGTGGCCTCTGAAGCCGGGCAGCGTCCGGAGCTGCGGGGCAGTGAGGGAGGAGGGGTGTAGTCAGCAAAGGCCAGGCCGAGCCTGGCACGTGTCCCGCAGGGAGGGGGCCTCCCGTCGTGTCCTCCCTGGTCAGAGCTCATCCACAGGCGCTGCTGTCCCTCTCTAGTCTCATCTCACGTTCCACTGTCAGTCGGGGGTGGGAACATCACCAGAGTTCCCTATCTTTGTGACCACGGATGACGTGAGTCACTTCGAAAATTGCGATCCCTGCTTGCCACCTTGAGAATCTGTATGGCCGGATCGGAGTTGCGCTGCGGTCGGCCAGCTGTCGTGATCTTACGTTTTACAGCTATGTTCTAAGTGTTTAATTTTGCAGTGTGGGAGCCAGTCACTGCCGTTAGGTCTTAGGCGTCACAGCTGGGAGGCCGCAGCCTTCACCGGAACTGCCTAGCGGAGAGGACGGAAGTCCCCGGCACGCACGGCGGGTCACCGGCCCCGAGAGGCCGTGCCACAGTGCCACCGGTGCTGTTGAAGCTGGAGATCTGCTCCCATGGGGGCCAGGGCGGGGAGCAGCCAGCCGGGCACACTCGCGTCTTGGGGCAGGACCTTCTGCTGCTAGAGGTCAGGACGGGCTGTCGTGTGTCCGCGGGCGCTAGTGGACGGCCGGCTCGCAGTCTGCCCAGGGCTCCTCTTGGCCCCGCCAATGCTCTCCTGACCATCGTCTCCATAGAGCAGTCAAACAGGATGACGACGGGGGCCCAGCCCACCTAGGCACCCAGGAAAGGGGCTGGGTGAGAAAGAGGCTGGGCTCGGCGGGCCCTGTGCACCCCCAGATCAGGAATCCAGGATTGTATGGGCCGGTGAAGAATAACGGGGCCCCCTGGGTCCTTTTTATTTTTCTGGTTCCAAGTTTTCGCCTTAACATTTATTTTTGGATTAGTAGGATATCAGCAGAGCTCAAGCCAGCCAGCCAACGAGCGCCCCTGGCTGTCAGCGCCCGGTCTCGCCCGTCCTGGAGGCGACCGAGTGTTCTGTTTCTTGTGTCTCCTTCTGGAGCTGTTTTTAAGTCGTACGATGTAGAAATAAGTCCTGTTCTGATATTTTTCCTTTTTTATATACAAACGGTGAAAACACATATTTGCCCTTGATTTTTATTCACTGTATTACTGGAAATGATTCCATCCGGGCACGTTAGGAGATCCTTGATTCTTTGTAACTGCTGTGTGGTACTCTGCTGTATGGATGTACCGTAATTTACCTAACTAGTCCTCGTTAATGGGCATTTCATTGAAATATGCTTTTTAAAATAGGTTTAACCCATATCCCGTTTAGAAAAAAAAAGTGCAGCTCACTGCCAGTGATCATTTTACATAAACACACTCTTTGAGGCTGAAGCAAATATGACAGGTTTTCAACAAGAAAATAAAATACAAAAACTGTTCTTGGAGTCATTCTAAGACACAGAACTTGTCTCTGATCCTAACGTGACAGAAATGTGTGCATACATTGGATTCGTCAAATGACTCTTCGGCCGACAATTGAGAACGATGTTAACATCACGTCGGGACGCTACATTTTCTAGGATTTGACATTTTCAGCGATCGAGAACTACTATGTTTTGTAAGTGGAAATGCCACTACTAAAAACAATGCTATAAACAGAATGATGCCATTTGTTTCCAAAGGCTATCGATATACTAGAGTGATGTGGAAAATGATAATGAAAGCAAGAAATTTCGTGCCAAACTTTGGGCGTGAGGTCAGGACCGTAATCTACGAGTTATCTCGGGGTAAGCGCTGCAGCTGCAAATGCCAGCAAGCATTCGCAGAGCGAACAGGGAATGGGTTAAGGAGTCTTCACTCGTCCAGCTCATCGCTGCCCACTCCACTGGTTGCTCTCCCTGACTGGCCCGGCTCAGGGAGACCGTCCCAGCTCACGACGGCTACCCACTTTAAGCTCCACCTCTTAGTTCCTCCAAATCTTGCTTGTAAAATGGAATCCGACAGCACATTTAAAAACAATCTCAACCAAGTGGGATTCATTCCAGGAAAGCAAGGATGGTTCAATACAATTTATTAATATCAGAAAGTCACGATTATCCTCATAAACACAGAAAAGGCCGTTGAAAATTCAGCGTGCGTTCTGGACTTTTAAAAAAAGGAATTGATAAAATTATCCTCAGCCAGTGTATTAATTACGTAATGGAAACTCGCTTTCCCACTAAAGTCGGGGACAAGGCAGAGTTGCCCACTCTTGCCACTGTGACTTGGTAAGGTATGACAGGATTCACCAAGGCGGTGAGAGAAAGCGATTTGAGAAATCTGAAATTGGAAAGTAGGTAAAGCCACGTCTGCAGATGATGTGATTCTATTTCTAGAAAACTCAAAATCAACAAACTAGCATAGACTTAAGAGAATTTAATAAAGTAACAGAATGTAGCATTAACATACAGAAGTCAAAGCCAACTTGTACACAAAGTCACCAGTTAGAAAAGAAGGCCCTATTTACAACAACAAAAATAAAAGATGAAAAATAGGCGAATTTTTTCTAAAATTGTGCAAAGTCTTAAGAAAAATCTTTAAAGAAAACTTGAATAAAACATTCCCAGGTGACTCAAAGGAGACTTGGAACAAAAGGAAGAGATGATGTTCTTGGATAGAAAGACTCGACAGTATAAAGGAGCGGAGAGTTTTTAAATTAGCTGATGATTTTAATGTGACCCAAATGTGATTTATTTTTTTTTTTT